TCAAGTTCTCGCCCCGCCCCTAACAACATAGTTATACAAATCAATAGTCTTATTTGGATGATAGAATTATCAAATATTTATTATTCCATTGAAATATTAACGGATTTAAAATACCTGTTAGAAACCCTTTCAAATCCCTTTCCAATGCTTGTTTTTGTTTTCGATGTATTCATACGTCTTATTGTCACGTGACAAACTACAGTTATTGGAAAATAAACGCCGGTTTGGCTAACTGGTTTATTGAAGGGAGTGATAGTAGAAATGTAAATATTATATTATAATATAATAATAAATGATAAAAGAAAATGATATATGATAAGTGATAAATGATAAATGATAAGACACGTGATATAATTATGTTAACTATTCTATCTTTTCAGATGTCAGCTATTGTACCGAGAGGGGATACACGATATTTTTAGACCAGAGATATTGTTTGAAATATTTTTCACGAACATCAACTTGGTATAACGCTGAATCAACTTGTCGACAAGATGGTGGTCATTTAGTTTCACTTTATACTCAACAAGATTTAACTAATTTGAGATCTCTGTATACAGGTAAGTAAATCAGATGAAGAAAAGAAACTGTGGTAAAATAAAAAGACAAATTCTTGATTTACAATGTTCCCGTCTACTAGCTGGTCGTTGTCTATATCAAATCAAAGCATTAATCTTTCCTTGGATATCTGTACCCACAAGACTGAAATAATTTATTTTCATGTTTTGTTGAGCAGCAATCGTAGAAGAGATTCGTCTTTTTTGCAGAATTGTCATTAAACCACGATACAAAATAATTATTTGTAAGGTGTAAGGACAAGAGACTGAAGACCCCAATCCTCACAGCTACAATTTGCAATTCTGTGAAATACTTAGGTGACCATGTCCGGATCGGAGAATACCGATGAGATAATTTGATAATAGTTAAAAATAGATTCTTCCTCTCTCCCGCTGTCCAATGATAGACTAGTTTATATTTATATTATCAAGTCAACTTCAGTTTATTAATGTCAGTAAATGAACTGAAGTAATCATTGTTTCGTGAAATACACTTGAAGAGAACACGGACAAAACGATCAAGGTCACAATTTTCTGATTTCAAGTAAATTGATTTTTAAAGTTTGAAAGTCAGTTGATATCAGGTTGAAAGACAATACATAATAGTTTCTTTTATTTCAGTTATTTGTTTTAACAGTTACAAATTTTCAAATTAAAAACTAATAAGCAATTAAAGATGAGTTCCCTTATTTCGCATTTATGAAAATGATAATGCTAATACTTATATGAATAGAAAGTAGAGGTGTTCTAATGACTTGGAAAAATATCAGTTTGTCTCACATGTTCATAATTAATTCATAATTAGCTATATTAGAAGAGAATTACCAGCAGAATTCCAATTTCCGATCAAGAAATTTCAAAAAGTCTTTTTTGTTCATCCAGACTGTACCTTCATGGATATTTATGATTGGTTAAAACTTTTTATTATATGCAATAAGAACATAATGATATAATATGATATGATATAATAGTTTGATTTATTTGATACTAAAAAATAAGGAAACCCATCTTTAAAAGATTTTAACCTTGAACTTAGACCGTTTCTTCCTGTAAATATTTCGGAAACATTGATCGTTTTGAATCTGTTTATCCAGAAATTTTAAATTAAAAAAAAACAGTGATTTAAGGGGGAATTTTCAGTCTTCGTATCATGTTTATCAGTTTCAGAAATATTACTATGGGCCACAATTTGACTATCATATTGACGTCACGAATCCTAGAATGAGTAGGGATCTTGTTAACAATTTGTTTTCAAACAGAACTTGTTTTAAGTAGACATTGAATCTGGGAGGTTTTGGATTGATCGGATGACATGAAAATGGGATGACTTTTTTTTTAAGTTCGTGTAATCAACTTTCAGGGATTTTAAGATTTGCATTCTTTTGCATCAAGCAAAAAAATAAATAAAATTCATCATAGGTTTTGTAGAAAAGAAAAATATCATTAAATAACTCAAAAAAGCACAAAATGATATGCAAGTCATATACTGTGAGCCTGTTACAATGTTAACAGGAAGCAGCCATTACTGATCACTGATTGGTTAGTTTGGAATATGTGACATTTTAACCTGTAAGTTTGATATATTGATCGTTTTGAACTTGTACATAGTTTCTTTCATGGCTCTCTAACAGTACACAAATCGTTTTAACTCCTCCAACTTGCGATTAAAAGATACTTTACACTATGGTTGTCATTGTTAGCTATTTTACTAGAATTTTTCAAAGTGTGATCATTTTGCCCGTGTACTCTTCATTTGATTTTAACTTTTCAACAACAATAGCCATACCATCGTAATACGCCCACATTTGTAATGGCAGCTAGATTGTCCGGGAAGTTGACAAGAGTTATCAGTAAATGAATGTTTAACTATATGCATACACCTAATGATCACTGTTAAAATTTTCATTGGTTGAGAAAACAGGGGGTGTGGCTTAAGTCCAGCTATGAAAAAAATTGTGAGTAGAGAAATAGTTAGGCCTCCGATTTTCAATAGGGTTCATCTTTCTTACTGATTCATACTG